ACTGTATGTTATTGTTTTTTTCTAAATCTTATGAAAACATAGAAGCACTTATATACTTGTACATCAAGCATCGTACGGTCAAAGCATGTAAACCGGTAAAAATATTGTATGTAAAATACGATGCTAATATCATTTACCTTTTGAAAGGTGTATACAATGAAGCGCATTGAAGTGGTAAAATTTATCATTTGGACGAGACGTTCTGAGTCATGTTTTGAACGTCAATTATAACATAACGACACGCCCATTTCTTTAGAAACGAGAAAGGAATATTCGTCGTAATGTTTTAGGACACTACACTTTCCGCGACAAGCAACATGAGTTACACTGAAATGAAGATTTTTAAATAAGAAAGAGCTATGTATAGAGTTCCCGCTTATGTAAAACACGCATTGCAACGATTTTGTACATAATTATGATTTTATCATGTTTATTGGAGTTAGCATAGCACATGTATCAGTCGAACACGTGCTAACTCGATGCAGACCGTCAATTTCATTGGATGTTATATTTATGAAATACCTGTTCTACAGGTATTCGATTGAATCATTTGACCGATTTTTCTTTTCTAAAGAAATGGGCGTGTCTGAAGATAGCTCAAAACGTTCCATCCAAGCAGAAAATTTTACCACTTCAATGCGCTTCATTGTACAAAGCCCTCGTTCGATAGATTTTCAAAGTTACATGTTCCCAACATAAGATTATGTTCAACTTTTTCATGCACATTTATTTTCATTTCGTTCAGTATATTACCAACACTGTCATCTCATCTTTTATAATACCTTAATTACATTCAAAAGGATTTTTGTGACTAAAATGTACTTTAAAGACTCCATGAGAAAACGTCCATAATTGAAATTCACCCTCCAACGACTAAGACCCAGATGAGTTCGTGCTATCTTTGAAATTGAATTTAGAATCACATCGCAATCGTAAAATTAATTTTCAGCTTTAAACTCTATTTTACACCCCTTGACGTCTAATTTGGTCAATTTACAACTTGAAGTAGTTTTCCAAGTAAAATGGCATTTTTCAATTTGGCATCGCTTAGCGACAATAATTCCATTTGCTCAATGAAGTAGTAACGCCGTTACTGAGTCGGTCTATAGACCGAGGGCTCTTTTGTTCCAAACGTGTCTACTGAGATCTTCCAAGGTCCCTCTCACCTTTCCCTCTCACTGAAAACAGAACGGCTAATTCTACCCATTACCATATTTCAATTTTCAAGTGATTGAGGCTTTCTCGAAGCCCTGCGTTAAGCACCTATTTGCTTTGCACTATTTTCCGTATGACTGCACTAAATTTGGTCGTTAATTTGGTCAATTTGCTGCTCAGAATGAAGATGATAGCTCAGCCTCTTAGATATCTTATGAATGGTAACTTTGTTGTTGTATACAATTCGAAAAATCAACAGACAACTGACAGTTGAACGTGTAAATAGATTTTCTGTTTCTGATAGCCACTTTTGGTAATCAGAAAGTTCTATTTAGTTGTATTATTAGTTTCCAGTAACCAGTTAGATAAGTCATACAGACGTAGTATTTGAGGGTGAAAATGATGACGAATCAGAAAGGAATAACAAGAAGCTTCTAGCGTCTGGAATGTCAAGTTACGACGAAGTTTAAGCAACTGAGTTGGACGGTAACACTCAAAAATATACTGAACAGGCAATAACAGAAAGGAAAGGCTTTACCTCCATGATACTCTTTACATGCTTTAGTACATATTATTATACCTCTACTGTAATTACTCTATATAAAATTAATACCTTAAAAATGTCTATTTCCTCGAAAAGAGACTACTTCAATCAGCTGAGGACTACTCCCTGGAAAATCAGAGGTACTCCCTGGGACTACTCCCACATGAATATTTATTAGTAATTTAAACCAGTCAAAGTGTTCAGTGGGCGAAGCGTTCAAGGAATCGCGAGTCTATGACGTCATGTTATTAGCAATGTAACTATGACGTCAAAACATATGGACATGCGAAGCCAAAATCATACTTGAATATCTAGCAAAATGAAGACAACGATAATTCTTCGAAATATCAGTGAAAATACTTTTTAAAAATAATATATATAACTGTTCTGTTTTAGAACACGATGAATTACTTATCGTACAATCTGTAAACCGCATGCATTTGTAGCCTACATAGTATTTTTTTTTTGAAGGTCGATCAAAATATCTCATAAAAAATTAAATCGCCTGTGATTGTTTCGGTATAATAAAACAGTTATGGAATGGGAACTCGGGAAATAGCAAATTTATGGTTCCCCTCGGCAGGAAACTATTTCCCTCGGCGGCTTCGCCGCCTCGGGAAATAGTTTCCTCCCTCGGGGAACCATAAATTTGCTATTTCCCTCGTACCCATTCCATAACTGTATAGTATAGTGTTATTCGAAGCAATAGTTAATGACCGAATGTTTTTCCCCAAGGTGAAAAGACGTTCTTTCGTTGCATACATAAACTAAATCCTTGCGTTCATTATGAACGACTTTTTCAAAATAAAGCTAGTATCTAACTTACAACCAGAGTTAAATAAAGTAGTCAGACGAAAAATGCGCGTAAAAATATTTGTTTCTCGCTTTGGAACATTTGGATTAACGAACAAATCAAAAGTCTATAAAACAATACAAAATAGGAGCAGAGCAAACACTGGACCTCCAAAACATCAAAGGTGAGATCAGGTGCCACGGAGGAGTGAGCATCCCCTGCCGACCGGTCCCACCCGCCGTGTGCTCCTTGTCATGATCGGGAAATAACGGAAACATCCATCGTCAATTCAGTGTATAAATAATGGACTAACAAATGGTATGACAAACGTCAGTCAGCAATTGACTTAATGATAAGTTGTATTTGCTGACAATGTCATTGTATCGACCATAGAACTTACGAAACGATGACTTTGAACGAGACTTCTCAATTCTTGTTTCATCAACTTCTTTGTCAATAATTTACCTCGTTTTAGAAATTGTTCATACGTTGAGCATGCTTTGGCGTATCGAATCAGCTGAAAGATAAAAACCGTATTGCAGGTGATGAAGATATATTGCTGCATAAGTGAGGGAAGTTGACAATAGTAAAGTAGTCATCATATTTATTACAGAGCTTGGTTATAAGATTACCATTACCGTCTTTTTTCAAGTAAAATATCCTTTGAAACAAATGTATCAGAATAGGTGGTATCTTTTATCTCAACTTCACTAGGAAATATCGTATCGACATAAGAATGGAAATTATCATTGTTAATTGATAGTACGTCGTCGATATATCTAAATGTCCAGTTGAAGGCCACAGCAAGTGTTTTCTTCTTTTCACGCATAAGATTTTGCACAAATTCTGCTTCATATGACTAAAAAAATAGGTCTGCTATTAACAGTACCCATGGGAATTCCAGTAGATTGTTGGAAGACCTGGTTTCCAAAAACAACATTTACTTGTGTGTACAATCAGAATTTTTTTGTAACAAAATAATTTTGCAAATGACCAATGGCAAGTAAATTTACAAGTTCCATTTTTATTGAAAAAGCAGCTGTCAATGATATCAAAATGCCTGGACTTTAATTTATCGCGGGAATGGTAGTGTATAAAGTTGAAAAGTCGTAAGTTTTTAAGCTGTTGATTTTTGTAAAATCTTTTGATTTCAAAATGTCCAAAGGTTCCTTGGAATTGTAAGTGTTTGGAAGAATACACCGCAGTCGATCATAAGACCTGCGTTGAGAAGACTAATGTTATTGTAAAAGCGTTTTGCTCTGCTGACAAACTTAGTGTTGTTCGTAACTGATCAGAATTAAACCATCAAGAATGAAGTCGATTTTAACACAGTCATAGTCTAAGAAAACCTTCAGTCCGAATTAATTGTTTAAAATCTTTTTTGACGTTGTATCTAAGATTTATCATTCCTGAGGGGGCGGCTAACTACAATCTCGCCCTCATTACAGGTGCTTTTTAAACATAAATGGAGTCCGTAAATTTACCTATCTTTTTATTGATCATTTCCAAAATTATTTTGTTAAACAATATTCTGATTGTACAAACAACTTGATATTATAAGATGCTTGAGTTTCTGATTGACAATATCTAAGTATGTTGTTCATGAGAAGAAGAAAACACTTGCTTTGGCATTCAACTCGACATTTACATTTATTGATGACGTTTCTTAAATTAACAATAGTTACTTTCTTTCATGTGTCGACTAAATGTATCCCAGTGAACTAGAACTAAAACACTAAAAGATACCTTAGAGTCTGCCATATTTGTTTCATATTTAAATGTTTTAATGACTGTAGACGATAAGACCAACTAACAGCTAAACTGTGTGACAAACGAGATGACTACAGCTTTTCCACAATCAAATTTCCCTAAGTTATATAACTTATCACTGGGTCGTACTTCAACTAACTTTTTCCATACAAATATTTCAGCTTTTGTTTTTATTTTCTGAATTTGACAATGGAGAGTCTTCTTCTTGGGTGGTACACAGGGTTCACGGCGGGTGTGGCCAGTCAACAGAAAATGTTTACTCCTCCTAGACACCTGATTTCTATGGCAAGCCCTTTTACTATTTATTCGTAAAATAAATTTTTCTTTCAAAATGAGAGATATCTCTCTAGCATAGAGAGATATCTCTTTAGCTTATGGAGATATCTCTTTAGCTTATAGAGATATCTCTTTGACTAATAGAGATATCTTAATACTTTAGAGAGATATCTCTTTCAACAAAAGAGATATCTCTTCTTGAAAGAGAGATATCTCTTTTAGTAAGAGAGATATCTTTATAAGCTAGAGAGATATCTCTTTAAACGAGAGAGATATCTCTTAAAGTTAGAGAGATATCTCTTTAACAAGTTTAAAAGAGATATCTCTCTTAATTAGAGAGATATCTCTTTAGATTTTCAAAAAAAGATATCTTTCTAAGCTAAAGAGATATCTCTTTTAATGAAAGAGATATCTCTTTTCCAATCACCCTTAAAATAAAATAACTAATTCTCCCTTTAAAAACGAAAGCGAAACAGGAAGTAATGTCTGTTAAGTCGTTCGTTTTCTGGTTATGGAAAAGAAGAGGATAAAATGGACTGATTGATACAGGTAAACAACGTTTAATTGCTTTATTGTTTTAAGCGAAAGTAACAGGATTTCAAACCAAAACGTCCCCCAAAGATTGGTTCCATATTATATTTATTTCATTTATTTAGCTCACAGGACAGCTGAGCCGCGGATATAGAATGCGAAGTCAATAAAAACAAATTCGAAATAGGCCTACATGCACCCAATTTCATCGATCACGGGAATACAGGCTTGATTACTACGTCGATTAAACATAATCCTGATAGAATTAATGTTCTTTTTTAATTAATAAATACTCCAAAAATAAAAACGTCCAACATTACTTCTTTCATGTAAACAGGGATGTATATATTCAACTTCAATATTAACTGTAGGACGTTAAACGACATACATGTACGCTCAATATATTAACTGTAAAGCCTTATGACCCCCTTCCCAAACACAGGCACCTGAAGTATGGATAATACCCCCCCCTTTTTTTTTAATATTTTTTTTAAATTTAACAAAAAAAAGGGGGGTATCATCCATACTTCAGGTGCCCGTGTTCCCAAATACTCTTACAATTATGAGAAAGACATTTTATTTTCTTAAAATAGGCATTAGAAATAGGAATTTTCTTATTTGTCTTAGCTAGAACAATCCCCAATTTATCCAATGTTGTCACCAAACAGGTCTGCACTGGGTCCATAAGACATTCATCATTCAATGGTAGAACATTTTATCTACATTTGTCATATTTTACAGAGATCCAGGAGGTACTGAAAAAGGGACAATGCTTCGACTGAATGTGTCATCCATGTACCAGTATAGACCTGTTAATGAGGCATATCCAATAATTCTTACACTCATGAAGAGTGCGGCAACTCCCAAGTAGTTAAGGATGGCACGCATTTTAAATCAGGTACAGGATAATTTTTTGGGCTGCACTTTTCTTTACTTCAATATTTCAAACTTACTAGTTAAGTATCAAGTCCACAAAAGCTCAAACACCATGGTGAATCAATGGGCCATAATGATAGTTAAATTTGTCATATGCTTTCTTATTAAATTATCAATTTGAAATTTGATTGGTAAAAAACATTTATTAACAAGTACAATTCTTCTACTGTGTGCCTGTCATCCCAACAATTGCAAATGCACATCGATAGGTTCTCCATGAAAATTGCTAACTGCGCAGAATGGTTGCACATTTTTTCAATGAACTACATTTTCTTAACATTGAATCCTTCAGTATAACAAGACAAATATTGCATGCTTATTTTAATACAATATAAATAAACTTAAGAACAAATTTAAGGATTGAAGTTTAATTTGTATATTTGGTAGTTACATGCGTAATTAGTTTTATATATAAAGGATGTACACAAGCATTTTATAACATTGAAAATATTCAAGAAAGTATTAATTCTCTTAATTTCTTGTAGATCCTCACTTTTAGGATGTTTTCCATGTTCTTGTGAAAAGTGTTTTACATGGCACCATTCAGCTACAAATACTTTGCCGGTGGAACTGTGACATCAATCAACTGCTCATGCCACTGCTAATTGGCAGAATTTCCTTTGGGACAAGCAAACTGTTTCAAATATATTACACCTGCAAGTTAGTACTTATGAAATTTTGTTTGCAGGAAGCTAAAAGCTAATGAGTATTGAAAATACAAGTCAGATGAAGTACAAAAGTGTTGATACAAGTCATTTAGAATTTTCAATTCTTTGCAGGTAGTGATGAGTGTACTGGAAGTTTTTTCGGGATCTTGTCCGACATCATAGGTACAACTGGTCACTGTGCTTTCTTGGTTATATAAGCAGGCATATTGTTAAAGCGGTGACACATGTAGCTTCAAATGATGCTTGACTGTTTAAGTGTTTTTCTATGATTTATAAGTAAACCTGGATTGATCTCTGATGCAGTAATATAGAGCCATGTCCATTCTTCAATATTCCATCATCCCACTGTCATAAAGTACTGAAATAAAAATGATTTTCATTTTAAAAATTTTTGGTTTTTATATGTAACATAAAATTCTACAGAAATTCAAATATTAAAACTACTTCAAAACAAGATGTGTTTGTGAAACACTATGCGCCAGGCGGCAACAAATTCAAACAAGTTTTTTTAAGCATATAGGTCATAGTCAAGGTCACAAGGTCATTGGCCTTGGTGTCATTTGAAAGAGCTTAATTAGTGGAGTATGCAAATCAAATATGAAGTCTCTATCTTTTACGGTACAAAAGGTATGGTGAAAGTTCAAAATGGTATTTATAGCATTAAAGTCACATTAAAGGTCAAAAGTTCACTGGCCTTGGTGTCATTTGAAAGAGCATAATTAATAAAGAAGGCATTCCAAATATGATTTCTCTATCTTAAATGTATAAAAAGTTAAGGCGAAAGTTAAAAAAAAAGCTATTTTTAGCATATAGGTCACAGTCAAGGTCACAAGGTCATTGACTTTGGTGTCTTTTGAAAGAATTTAATTAGTGGAGTAGGCATATTAAATATGAAGTCTATCTCTCATGGTTCAAAAGTTATGGTGGAGGTTAAAGTTGACAAAAGACAAACAGACATAGAAACAGGATATAAACAATAGACAATAATTCACTTATTTTATGATTGTGTATATTAATGTGACTGAATTTTGGAATCAATTTGTACAAAGGTTTAGTGTCATTGAAAAAGATTACAAAATATCCAAAAGAACTGTTTTACTTGTTACTATAGAAGGAAGTTGTTTAGAAAATTTTCTTTTATTAGTTGCAAAAAAATTTATTTACTATTCAAGATCACAAGATAGTAAACCATTATTTATTGATGCAGTAAAGTTATTCAAGTATTACAGAAACATAGAAAATTGTTGTGAAAAAGTTAAGGACAAAATACTCAGTAAATGGGTCCTGTATGATAATGTGTACAACATTAGTGATGCAAAAATCAAAATTGTAATTCTTTGTTAATTTATATCTACACATTTGGGTACATCTGTTTTGTTTTTGGATAAATTGTATGTTTAACTGTCATATGTTTACATATACATGTATGTACATTTATTATGCCCCCCCCCCCCCCTTGAAGAAAGGAGGGCATATTGCTTTGCTGCTGTCTGTCAGTCCATTTAGTTTCCATTCATTTTCTTCACAACCATTGCACTGAAATGAAATTTGGTATACAGCCTTACAGGTATATCAGATGAATATCTAGGTCAAGTTCTGTTTTGGGTATGATCATCGCGCCATTTTTGACAGAGTTATACCCCTTGGCTTTAGAAAAATTCCAATTACTTGCAGTTTCTGTTCATTTCCTTTGCAGGGGTTGCACATAGTGAAATGCAATTTAGTATACAGATTTATCAGATGATCAGGAATATCTAGGTCAAGTTCTCTTTTGGGTATCCTTGCACCATTTTTGACAGAGTAATGCCTTTTTGGACTTAGATAAAAAATTCCAATGTGGGGGGAGGGGGGCATAAGTATTTTACAAACATCTCATTATTTTTAATTTTAGAAAGTGCATTGTGTGAGTGTGTGCAATTGTGGTGGTGAGTGAGTGAAAATTGTCTTGTGTTTGTACAGTGTATATATGGATATGGAAAATGCTTCAAAATAAAGCATTTCAAAAAAATTTTTTGGAAAGTATGGCAATCATATACCATGCAGTACTCAGAAATGCTAAATAAAAGGCTGCGTAGAAGAAAAAAAAATAATTAAAACTACCAATCAAATAAGTATTAAATGTAAATCTTTTAAGATGAAGGTTTTGCTTTGTCAGATTCTTTGCTTATAGGGACACTTACCTTTAATAATGTCATGACAGGTGAGGCACATGGCTGGTCTTCATGCTGGATCAGTTCTTAGTTAAAACCATCCAGTATTGCCCCAAGATTGCCAGATGTACAGACAAAACCTGTAATTTAGCAAGCTTCTGTAATATTGAATTATTACATAGGCCATAGTTGTATGTGCAACTGATAATGATGTAGGACTAAGGTGCCTGACAAATAATGAGTTATAAATCTTACAAATATCCATTTACAAATCTTAACTTTCTTCATTAAATTTTATCAATGATTTTACAAGAAAATCAGAATAAAAATTGTCCTTTTTATACATAAAAAATATTTTCATTTAAAATCTTTTTATTTAAAAATATTTGTTGCATTTTCATATTTAGGGCACCCTTCCTAGGCCAACAATAAAAAAAATGATTTGTTTGATGTACTCTGACCGACCTGTTCAAATAGCCCCTACCCATTTGCATTCTTTGGGGGCACTTAAAATTTTTTAACACCCCCCTTAATTTCCATAGATGTTTTAAAGATAAGGTATCATATTTTTTTTAGGATGCTTTTTAATTTATAAATACAAAGTCTTTGTAACTAAATGAAAACATTAACAGATTTTTGAGTCTGTGGTTTTAAATATGACAGTTATCAATTTATTCAATGCAGTAAGACATAAGAAAAAAAAAACTAGAAATATGTCCACAGGACAGGAATGCCCGCCAAGGGTATATTAGTCATGCAAAATGAAAATTTGTATGAAATTTGTTCAGAATATCTTGAAAAATGTTACAGTTGAATTGCTTACATCAGTATGTATCAGCATATGAAGTTTGACACCAATTTCAGAGATGTGAGGTCAAGGTCAAATAAAAGGTCAATGTCATGTTGATGCAGTTGAATTGCTTACATCAGAATGCATCACCATATGAAGTTTGACACTAACTTAGGAAAATTGAGGCCAAAGTCAAAAGAAAGGCCAAGGACAAAAAATGTTTGTTTCAGTTGAAAAGCTCTCATCAGTATGGTAAGTTTGATACAGTAAATCTCGTTTCGTACGAACAAATATTGCGAATTCTTGGGTATAGCGAAGTCATCTTGGATTCCCAGCTATAAAATTTCAATGAATTTCTTATATGATTATAATGAATTATGGATATAGCGAAGTAATTTCATAGGTCCCAGCAACTTTGTTATAACCGAGTTTTGCTGTAACACCATCTTGAATGGTATGTTTAAAACTAAGTTAAACACTAATTTAAGAAAAGTGAGGTCAAGGTCAAAGGAAAGGTCAAGGACAGAAAATGTTGATGCAGTTGCATAGCTCTTATCAATATCTATCAGCAAAGTTTGATGAAATATCCTGTATAGTTTCTTTGAAACTGGGCTTTGAACTGAGCTAAACGCAAAGTGTGACGCATGGACAGAAAGACAGAAGACAGTCATGACAAACACTATATGCCCAGGCCATAATCATGGTGGGGCATAAAAAAACTACCGGTACCTACCAACCTACCTGCCAACCTTGATAAAAGTGGGTAGGAGTACATCAAACAAATATATTTTTAAAGCTGGCCAGTTGTTGACTAGTATATTAGTCATTTTGATATGCTATGTCTTATAAAAAATAAATTTTATATTTGTCTTAGACTTATTTGTTGCATCAAGTTTGGTTGAAACTTAATTTGCATCAATTTCATACCTGTATTTGATTATGTTCCCCAAACGAAGTTGGGGAACATATTGTTTTTACTCTGTTTCTTATTATTATTATTATTTTTCTTCTTCCTGGGAAAATTTTGTCCACGAGTGATCTTGTTAACTACACATCCGACTAAGGTAAAATGTTTTTAGGGTTAGTAGGCATGTTATGTAGAGTTGCCGAACGAAGGTCATTTTGCGCGCACGTGCTTGCAAGTGCGGGCACGTGCAACACGTGAAATGACCAATATATTGAATCCTACCGTAACTTTTCTATTTTTTGATGAAATGTTTTGAAACTCATAATATAAGGATATATTAGTAGTATAAATAAGATGACGTGGTCAATATGGCAAGATCTCACGCGCATGCACGTGTGCTTCCCTCTGATTTGCTGAAACTAAAGTCTCAATATCTTTTTTGTTTCTTGTCATAATCTTTTGAAATTTTGAACATAGTCCTATATTATGAAGATCTACAGCATGATATATAAAAATTTTCATGAAAGCATGCGCATCTGCGTGTGCTGTAATCTGATTGGCTGAAATTTTAAATGGCTATATCTCCTTTGTTTTTTGACGAAATGCTTTGAAATTTAAAACATAGTCATGCATAAGAATATACTAAAATATGATACAGAAAAAAATTAATGAAATCACGCGCATGCAGGTGTGCTGCAATCTGATTGGCTGAAACTTTAAATGGCTATATCTCCTTTGTTTTTTGACAAAATATTTGGAATTTTAAAATATAGTCAATCATTTTGACATCCTTTCAATACGATGAAGATAAAAAAATTATGAAATCACGTGCAAACATGTGTGCTGCAATCTGATTGGCTGAAAATTCAAATGGCTATAACTCCCTTGTTTTTCAACCAAACAGGATGGGATTTAGAACATAGATAAATATAAGACTCGTACAAGAAGGTGAAGTCATTATGCACGTGCTTGCACGTGCGTGCAAGTCCGTGCATAGCTCGTGAAATAAGTAAAATTTAAAAATACACTTGAATGTGTGCATTTTTAATGCTTCTGGATTAAATGCTTTGATATTAAGTATATTAAAATTTTAGATAGTGTAGACAAGATAATATGGTCGTTACGCACATGAACACGCGTGCAATGCCTATTTTTAATTTTTTTTTTTTCGGGAAGACCTTGATTAAGTCTAAATTCCATAAAGTATTTTTTATTTAATAGAGATAAAGGGGAATATGTCACCAAAAGGGAGTTGGGAGCGTTTGGGGAACATCTGTAACGGTCCCCGTTACAATTAGCACTAGTTTGCATTGTTTTGGATGCTGATAATTCAAAGTCAGTTTGGTCTTAGGTGCTGCTGACTTTGGATCTCTTAGGAACTGCATCTTTTATCTGTGTTACTGGTTCTCTTGTACCTCGCTGCTATAAATAAGTTTTAGTGTATACAGTTGTGTAATATCAGTGAATAAATTGAACAGACAGATTGATTGTTTATTGTTTATCGTTCCTCTCAAGAATTTTTCACTCATATGGAAACGACAGTGGAGAGCTGCAAATTTTGTCCTAATGACCTATACTCAGCACTCAGGGCCATTGACTGATTGAGCAGGAAGGGATCTTTTTTGTGCCAACACCTGACCTACTGCAACAAGGGGCCACAGTCATACTGTATCATCCCATGGACAGGTCTCCACATCCCACAGTGGGATTCAAACTCATGATGTAAGGATCAACACCTTATTTCGCGACTCTACTTGAGCAGACACTCTAACCACTGTGCCATGCAGGCGAATTTGAACAGACAGAAAAATTTACCAAAATCCATAAACCATGTTCTATAAACAGGAAACATACTCTCTAAAGTGAGAAATATGGTCATCTAAATTTTATTTAATGCAGAGAGATGGCAAAATATATGAACATCTTATCCTTGTGAAATAGATCTAAATTGCTACAAACATTTAATGCTCAAAAAAATAATCCACTAATACAAAGCAGGTTAAAATTTACTGAAAAACAAGATGTGTTTGTGAAACACTGAAGCCCCCGTACGGCAATTTAGTGACAGTTAAGCTTTCTCAAATGCAAATCAAATATGTTAATTCGTACCAAAGTAAGGTCTTTTCACAAGAGATGAGAAATGTAAACACTAACTACACCTGCTCCAGGGTTATGACCAATGTTAACATCTTAAAAGATAGGACAAATTCCGGGTCAAGGTCAAAGGGTCAAGGTTGTTGTGTTCTAAAGAAAGGCCTTGTCTCAAAGATTATGTATGGGAAGTATGAAAGCACTGGCCCTTACCGTTCAAAAGTTATGGCCAAGGTTAAAGTTTGTAAAAAGTAGGTCAAACTTTAAGGTCAAGGTCAAAGGGTCAAGATTCTTGATATCCAATGAAAGGTATTGTCACAAGGATTACACATGTGAAATATGAAAGCTCTAGCCCCAACTATTCAAAAGTTATGGTCAAGGTTAAAGTTTGGTAAAAGTAGCTCAAACACCAAGGTCAAGGTCAGATGGTCAAGGTTCTTGAAATCAAATGAAAGGTCTTGTCACAAGGATTAAATTTGTGAAGTATGAATGCCCTAGTCCTAACCCTTCAAAAATTTCTGTCAATGTTGTATTTTTAAAGTGGGTCAAACTCCAAGGTCAAGGTCAAAAGGTCAAATTTGGTGGTACCCAAAGAAAGGTCTTTACACAAGGAATATATATATGAAATATGAAAGTCATAGCTCCACTAAATCAAAAGTTATTGGCATTGTGAAAGTTTTTGCGGACAAACAGAGAGACAGACGGACACGACAAAAACTAATTACCCCCGAAACTTCGTTTACGGGGGCATAAAAAGTATATTAAAAAATTACCCAAACAAAAGTGATGCAGCCACAATATCATAAATATGACGTTGGTTCCCACCAATGACAAAACTCCTCCTCTATAATCAGCTGATGAATAACATCTCGGATTCAAGAGAAATCTGTTAACAAATTAAGGCAAAAGATAATTTTGAAACTATTTCATTCGGTTAAGAATAAAACACTTCATTTTCCCTCAAAATAAACAAGAAACGGATGACACTCTCTGATTTGTTTACCTGTATTTCGATCGAAATATTCCTGGTGGACGCTCGCACCCAATTTCTTATGACATGAAATTCATACATCGTAAATCGTACAACCCTTCGGCTTTGTAAAACTATTTAATTTCCCCCTGAAAGCTGTGTGTAAACCAGAAACATGCTGAACTCAATACACATTCACCATGACCATGTGCGAGGAATTGAAAATTATCGTAAAATCTCGCGAGTCACGTGACGAGACTTATAGTCTCGTTCAACCAGACCCTCGGCTGTCTCCGTAAATCTCCGACCACCCAGAGGGTCTGGTAAAGATACGTATTATCGTTTGTGACGCCAAAACGAGGCTTACCGAAATTCTGGTAAAGTTTTTGATTGGCTGAAAAGAACACACCTACAAGATTTAAACAAATACATGATAAATCAACAGAAAAATAACTTAAAGATGTGAAAATTATTTATCTAAAAGTTAAAACCGTTAGAGAGGAATTATTTACGGTAATGCCCTTCAGTTATAGGTAAGCGTGTTTTATTATGTCTCGCAAATATTCTGTACGAAAGCAAAAGTGAAAGTAGTGTAGCCCTACCTGCGTAATACACATTCCTTCGATTGATATTGTAATTTCTCGTTTGGTATCCCTAATTAAAGACCAGTTTATTAATATAAAGTCACAATCAAGCAGAAGAAACGTCTTGAACGTTTGATTACAAAAAGGATTTTTAAAATGAAAACAAGATAGCGCCCTCTGACGGTTACAAACGCTTACGTGATTCTTTACCAGACTCTCTGCTGGTCGGAGTTCACGGAGACAGCCGAGCGTCTGGTTGAACGAGACTACGAGACTTACAGACTCTGGACCGAATTTTCTCAGCTTTTGAATAATGAATAAAAAGTTCACTTCCGGTAAAGGGAGAAGTCATTTCAAATGGAATTTAAATAAACATAATGAAGAGAGATATCTCTTTGCAATAAAGAGATATCTCTTTTTGCTTCAGAGATATCTCTTTTAGACCCTTTTGAAAGATATCTCTTTCACTTTGAGAGATATCTCTTAAGATAAACTTAGAGAGATATCTCTTTTACTTAAAGAGATATCTCTTTAACTTGGAAAGATATCTCTCTAAGTGAAAGAGATATCTCTCTAGGTGAAAGAGATATCTCTCTAGTTGAAAGAGATATCTCTCTAACGATCAGAGATATCTCTTTAACGTTCAGAGATATCTCTTATCACGAAAGAGATATCTCTCAAGGAGAAAGAGATATCTCTCAAAGAAAAAGAGATATCTCTCTAAGTATAAGAGATATCTCTCTAACTTTAAGAGATATCTCTTTCTTATAGAGATATCTCTTTAGAATAAGAGATATCTCTTTAAGTTGAGAGATATCTCTTATTTTTAAGAGATATCTCTCTAAAATGAGAGATATCTCTGTAATTTTCAGATGAAATTTATTTTCCGAATAAATAGTAAAAGGGCTTGCCATAGATTTCACCTCTTAAATTGTCAGGGGTCTGTTCATGTCCTCTTTAAAATTTTGTATCGATTTTTAGATCGATTACTCTTTGTCAAAATCGCCCGTTCACTGTCTCTAGTTTTATATATAAAATGCTAACATAAAATGTCCATGGGTCATATACTCATCTAGTGCTTCTTATGTTCAATTTAATACGTTTGTATTTATATAGACTATAAAATATCTTTTGTGATCTGACCTAGATACCAACATTGAGAGGAGAATGCACCTACAGAGTATACTCACATGCGGATACTGCTGTTTGAAAACAACATCTAGTGACTTGTATTATATTACAATACATTGTTTCTTGTTATTATCAATGAAATATATAGAGATAACGAACATTATCCGAGCTCAAAAGTCCATTAAACAATACAAATCAGAAGCAAGACAAACAGTTACACGGACCTCTAAAACATCAGAGGTGGGATCAGGTGTCGTTGAAGGTGGGCACCCTACTTTTATTTTATAAATGAAGACATTGGTCTGCTGAATGAGGTGAATGGATCTGGTTAATGAATGCTGGAGATAGCGAAAATAGCTCTCCAGCTTAATAAGTTTGCCTTACTAATTTGAAAAATTGAATAAAAAAATACCAATTTATATTACAATTTTATAGTTGAAATATTACCTTTCAATGTTATGCTTAATTTTCAACGTAGTCTAGAAAATTTGAGCCCCATTTCTTCTCCAAATAAAGATTGAATACTATAGGTGTTCTGATAACGTTGCGTAATTATTTTAACAAAATGCAAAAACTGTGTATTTTTAAAAAGCAATTCATGAGTATTGTTATATTTTCATATTAAAAATACTTCAATAATCAGGTTCATTCATTCTTAATTGTGAGATACAAATCATAGACAAGGGAATCTTTTACTAAACTTACAAATATGTTTTAAGATGAAATATGTGGGGATAGCAAACATTTTTCGAGCTCAAAAGCTCATTAAACATTACAAAATAAGAGCGGAGCAATCACATCAAAACATCAGAGGTGGGATCAGGTGCCAGGATCAAGATAAAATTGCACAAATTCATACCAAGAAGGGTGCCTTGAAAAGTGCTCGTTTCAATCTGAAGTATCAATAAATTACAAACGATGGTCATTTTTCTCAAACTTTAATTTATAGTTCATATTAAGTGTATCATAAAAATATGAAGTAAGCAAAGTCATTTTTTAATGTTTAATAAATAATAACAAAATTTACAGTCAGTTGTGAAATATATGGATGAGTAGCAATAATTATAGATACACTGTAGTTTATAATATGGCTCTTAGGATTTTTTTTTAAAGCAAATCCTCATAAAAATGATAGATACTAGGATAGGGATATGAAAATTCGTAAAAAGTTGTTACGGACATGTCCGAGAATTCAATTGTTCTTGTAGCGATGACGTAGAAGTAATGGACTCCGAGTGCTCACGTGCACGCCTGCGCAGTTCAGCAACACTTGACGTTCTCTGGTCAGAGGAAACAACCCTTGGAGGACAACCAGGCCGAGAACAGCAACCACAAAACGGTAAACATCCTGCAGAAATAAAATTTATTGTAAGTTTTCATCAATTTGAAAAGAAAGTTAAGGTGATAATGGACTGTTTGCGATAATTTAAATTAAATAAACGAAAGAGAAATAACGCGCACTGTATAGGAAACATAGTTTCTTTTAAATAGGAAAAAAAAATACCTTTCAGTGGAAAGAAAGACACATCATGATAATATAATATTTTCTACGAATTCCCAAGTCAAACATTTGACATTAACCAACTTGCCCTATACTATCATGGCATTTTGCCATTCTTGGTAGATTCTACTAATTTAATAAGAGAGAGGGACAGTAACCACACGCCTAAAGTAGAACTATTTTTATTGGTTCTTTACCTTTGAAAGCAGGATGCGGAACTGGAGGAAGGTAATGTCTTGGTGAATTTAGATAGTTCTCCAGATAATTCTTGTAGGCGGACCTAAAAAAAACACAAGAATTTGTCATTGAGTTCCATTTATGTCTATCCAAATAAACTTCTTTAAAGGCAACTGATCCTTTACTCCAATATATGTCAACTCTAGTTAAGAAATACCAAATATCACTGAAGGAGGATTGGAGATAACCTTTTGGCATTCAGGTTTAAAGTTGAATGCATATTTTTTCCCAATTACCGGTACAGTAAAACGTGCTTATATCGAATATGTTATAATGAATTGTTGCTCAAAGTGAAGCGATTTTCATTCCCCTTGACTATCAAAATTATTAATTACTCATCGGAAATAACGAATTATGCTTATAACAATGCAATTTTTTCCGTTTATGTCACTTTGTTTACTGTAATTGTTTAAGAATACCAGGAAAATATTAATACACCTAAATATGTTAAATATTCAAAAGCAAGATAAAACTGGTTTGCTATTAAAATTTTTGAATATTTTTTTTTCAAAATCATTTAATCGTTTGAAACTCACCCCTCCATAAATGGTAGCATTGACTGTCTGTTTACAACATTGTTGTTAAGAGCCAGAAGTGTCTGAACAAAAGAGGGCTGCATGAATTGTTGCTGTTTCTGTAAGAGCATGCTGTCTTGTGATTGGCTGGCCATGCTCATCAAAAGTGATGATGAAGAGCACATGTTGTGCATTCCAGAAAATAAACTAGGTAAAGAACTAGGGATTCTGCTAGGTGATTGGATATTATTGGGAGTGGGTATGACGTCATCATTGTCTTCGTCCTTGACGTCATTTGTAACAATCACATTATCACTATCAGCATCTTCTGGTTTTTCTTTTATTCTTTGACTCTCGTCCTCATTTTTATTTGAGATTGAGATTTCTAAATCTGAGGACTCTTCTTCCTTTTGAGATGTATGTTCGTCTGATTTAAAACAATTAGTTTCTGACGAGGTCCCCTCATTCTCCCCTGAAATAACGTCCAGAAGTTTTGCAGCTTGCGAATCATTCTCATAGGTTAACTCGGTGCTCGTTACTGTCTCAACTTCCAACTCATCCTCAAGTTTTGTTTCTTCACCCTCCGACAACTCACCCTCGGCTACATCATTTTGACTAGATGTCCCTGATTTAGACTGCTGTGTCGTAAACCTCTCGCTCTTTCGCCATTTTGCTCTACGATTTTGAAACCACACCTTTAAAAAGCATTTTTCTTTGAGTGTTTTGCCTTTCAGCATGTTAATGATAAGAAATTTCTGCAGTGCATATTTGTACTATTTACCTGAACCCGAGCTTCAGTAAGATTAATCCTCATTGCCAGGTCTTCCCGTGTAAAAACATCTGGATAGTGAGTTTGTGCAAAGGCTTTTTCTAATTCCTCTAGCTAAATTAAATAAACATTAAAATATTTTAAAAAATTATACTTACTTACTAACTTGATTTTTCAAAAATGAATTTATTATACAGATGAATAGATTTTTCTTGAAATACCACGTATGCACATTGTTTTTCTAGTTACCTGCTGAAGAGTAAAGGTAGTCCTATTTCTTCTCTGTTTCCTTCTTGCAAAATTGTCATCTTGAAAATCGTTACCTAGGCCATATCCAGCATCTAAAATAGACGTAGAAAATTAATTCCAAAGATCCGATTTCTATATTGTACACTCAGAAATATCCATGACCCCCAAGACTAATAAGGTAAAATAAGATTAGGACATGAAAATGAAAAGTTTTATTTCAAAGTTTTTCCCCTTTAAAAATAAGGTTCTTTGTTAATCAAAAGTGTGTACAATTACATTATACCGACACAGAACATACATGTAGCAGATAAATACTCTATATAGATATTAAAAGGAAGATATTTTTCGGTTTCGTGTCAGGAAATATCCATGTCAAAATGTCAATGAAATTGCCATTAATATGACAATAAAGGAAGAATCGTTACTAAACTATGCAAAATCCGATCAATGGGAGACTCCTAATTCAATTAAGATAGATCATGCATAGAAAATTACTACCGATTTCTAGCGGGTGCTAAGCGCATCTCCAATTGTCTATATTTACCCTAATTCCCAGAGATCTGGGCAATATTTGTAGTTCTAGAATGATGGACATTAGGAATAATTTGTTGACGGATCGACTATCACAACACAATAGTTTTATCGCCTGTCAAAGTCTGATCATCATGCACAAAATCACATACTATTCCATTAAATGGAATTTCGTTTTATATAATAAACCTCTTTAGGGGTTTGAACGTGTCTGATGATCTTGGTCTATAAGGTATAATGGCGCGGAATGGGCTTCCTTCTTGTGACACCCTATGCATCAATTTGTGTTAATGACAGGTACAGGTTTATTTAGATTTAATATTCAGAAAGCTTTAATAACATTTAGTCCCCATCATTACCTTAATTGTCTTCTATGAGGTATTAAATTTCAAAGGTAATCTAATTCAATATTGGCACGGCCAATCATTATACAAAGTGCTGTGGGGATACCATATTACTGGAAGTAAATATTATTAAAGCAGCATCTTATTTCCCCATTTGCGCGCTTTCGCGTGCCAAGAGGAATTAGTCTCACTTGGTCTTCATCGCTCTAGGCCACTAAGTTGGGAGAAATACACACTTAGTGATTATTTTTCTGATTGGATAAAGAAGAATCGTAAACGCCGTATTTTGGGGTAAAATCGTATAATAGATAAATGACATTAGCGTCGTGTACAAATCTCTAATTTAAGACATTATCGGACAGACAAAGTGAATTTTAGTTGACAGGTTTCTGACCGTTGGCAACCGCATACGCCAACCCGTGCCCATCGCAAATGCATATCATTGATTTTACACCGAAAATTTAATAAATAAGAAAGAAAAATACCAAAAGACATGCGGATAATGATTTTCTAAACTACATAGGAATCTTGTCCTTAGGGTCTGATAATTATCTAAACTTTCAGCATTGAAGGAAATCTCAAAAGAATTAGCAGGCTTCGTTTTGTTTTTGCGTTTATTTAGTTTTGGTACTCTCTTGCAGTGATGAAAGCTAATACTTCCTAAAATCTTATTCGAAAAAATTAAGATGCTACCTGGTGATTAGTAAAAGTTACTCGTTGATTATATACGATAGTATATCGTTGATTTTCTTTAAAGTAACATATTAAATGCTCTGTGATCCCTGTTTTCCCCAAAGGGTAATTTTAATTATTACAATATGCATTTGGTAAGAAAGGTAGTCAGTATTCATGGGTTAAAGTGGAAATTCTAAGAAATAAAGAAAAAAAAATATCTAAAAGGAAGGATAAAATCGTCTTTGAATATTCAAAATCAAGTGTTACGTGACTTTTTGCATTAAATGCTCGATTAATCTGCCTTGATTCCTCACTTACACCTCCTGCAGGAATTTAACCCATTCTTATAATCTGCAAACAAAAATTCTTATAATTCTGCAACGTCATGAAAGCAAGTCTTTGCAATGCGACATGCACATCTTATTTTGAATCATTTGTCGTCTGTTCTGTGACAGAATGACACGAAATATTCAGCTTCTTTGCTGCTCTGTAAACGTGATTTGAGACATTCTTCTAAGTAAAACTGTAAAGGCATTGTTTCAAATAGGTATACATGCGGTACCTGCAAAATTATCTATAGCGTAAGAAATCTTCAAATACATTTCATTTTATCGTTTAAGTGCATTTTTTTCACGGCAAATGTTCAGTTGACACATTTGGCAGGAAACATCACCTTTACTTTCCGTAGTTTTCCAATAATATGTTTTATAAAACAAGAAAAGGGGCAATATATAATGCTGTATATCAAGACTCAAAGATAAAAATCAAGATACGTTTAATATAAAAAAGAAATTTGTTGGCGGAGTATTATAAATTTCGTTTTTCGATGCTTGCTAATGAAATGGTCCATAGGTCCATAACTAAGATAGGTATTATAACATCAAATAAGAAGAAAAATACAAGTATTTTGCCTTGTTATATATTGTTTGCAAAATATTCAAAAAATAACGAAAGAATACATAAACTGAGAAAAATCTTAAGTCAAAATTTTGATTTTTAATATCTTCAATCCATGTAACATAGATGCATAAAAATGTGCAAATTTGTGTGATATAAAAATTTAAACACATGTGGAAAATTTTGTTTCATTTTCAAAATTATTTCAAAAATTATATTAATTTGAAATTTAAATTTAATTTAAATTTTTTAAAAAATGTACTTAAGTCGGTTCTCAGTTCTTGGTCTTCGGGCCTGGTTATATTTGCGTTCATCATAACTTTTTTTTTAAATTGTACTCTGTAGTATTGTACCATTTCTCCTTTTTTTCTTAGTTTTTCTTTAGGCAAAAAACTCACAAGAGTGTTAAAGAGTTATACTTAAAGATATCTTTTTAGGGTATTTTTTTGAGATTAGCTTCTAGCCCGTAAATGTGCCCATCACAACTTCCTCTTGACACAGCAAGAAAGACTCTGTTTCCCGTAAGGCACAACATACCGATAACCCCAAGAACTGTAGAAACTCAGAGAGATGACAGTCTCTACATGTAACACCACTAGGTATTGAATTATCGTTGAACACTTTGAGTTCGTGAATAAGTGGAGTTTTTGTTAAACTAATTGTTGATTTTAAAATGTTTATACTTAGTGTTTACATCCTGCTTGAACCCTTTTGGCCAAAATGCTTTCTTTCGTGCTCATTTGTGACTACAGCATCAAGCTCAAAACAGTCTCACTTTTTTCAAGCCCCTTTTTATAGGACTATAATTTATAACTAAGTTTGATTCTTATTTTGAGAATTGCATTTAAAATCTTTCATTAAATTTGATAATATATTATAAATATTTGAAAGATTTTTCTTTTTTCATTCTCAGTTCTTTTGGCAGAATCAAAATTTAGCACATTTTTGTACTTATTGTTGAAAATGCATTCTGAAATTCATTCAAAGGTAAAAGTTTTCATTCGACATGGAGATGGTGTTGCTAAGTAAATTTGTTACATTTTCAATCATTCTTTAAACTGACATTTTTTTCAATTCATTTTTTTTTTTGGTCAGAATGTCAAAAGTCAAATTTCGTTTATTCTGTAGGTTTAAAGAATATATACCGCATGATGAAATCTTTACAGAGCGTTTTGTGATAAACTGAAGGAATATGATTAAAACAAATAAATATACAGTAAAGAAAGCAATAAACAAGAAATAAACAAAGAAAAAATCTAAAAATGAATGGTTCCAAACACTGATAAAATTAACTGAGGAATTTCATTCTTATTTTATCCACAGAAATGAAATTTTGTCCAATGTCTGAGACAGGTAATAAAACTTACAAGGATGGTGGTGGTGCTGATAGGACAAATCTACACCAAACTGTCTGGCCGCAGCAGGGTGGAGAGCCGGGGGGCAATGGAAGCAAAACATTACTGAAAAAAATACAGAACACAAAATTATCACCGAACAAGTAAGTACATGTACTATCTCAACATTATCTAAATAATAAACGATAAAATCATTTTGGTAAATGCCATTTGTACCAAGCTCTAGCCTACTGCAGAACATCAGGCCTGAATCTTACCTTGTATCTTCTGGTGTTTTCTTCTTTCACGGAGTTAATGATATCATTCAGATAGCTAATATCAAAAGTGATCCGAAACACGTAAGTCACTGCCTTATCCTTTACAAGTCGGCTTTGCAATGAAAGAAAAGCCAATCTTGCTCTGTATAATAATTTGTGATATTGGAAATTTGGTCTCGTTTAGACTGAAAACCACTTCCAATAATTCAGTTTTCTGAATGTAATCCTCAATTAATCAAGAAAATTAGACTGCGAAGCCAAACCCACGTTGGAAGGGCTAGCAGAAGACACAATAAGAAAGGATCGGCAGTGACAGCCCATGTTCCTGAGCCGCTCTGTCATTGGTCGGATTACTTAATTCCGGATTTTTACGGAACGGAACGTCCATGGTGACAGTAATACCATAACGGACTCCACATGGATCATCTAATTTGTAACCGATAAACGCCAATTCAAAAAGTTCCCGGCCATAAAAATCATTTATCGCAGAAAATAATGCCCAAAAATGTCTGTCGGATTCGACATTTGATGTGCGTTGGTCTTAATGCGGAGACATTACACGGCTTTCCATCTGATCGTCCAAGTTTCTTGACGCGGGTCAAAATTGACAATTAATTGTATAATTTGATTTTCCCTTTGTAGAACAGATACATGTGTTTGGTTATTCTAAATTGGATTATGACCTCTTGAATTCATCTTTATTTGAATGATAATTGACGATCTAGAAATGGTGGTATGTTTTTGCTCTTGAAGTTCACAAGAAGCTAATTAAATCAGCGTTTAGAAATTTTCTTTAATTCAGATTAACTCAAAAATTTCTAGTCTCTCAAAATAGTTTTAAGTACAATGTTCAATTTATGTCAAAAAAACAGAGATGAAAATGATTTTTTTAAATAATGTTTTCGAATGATGTATGTGTATGATGATAGTGCTCTCTGACTCTCGACAGCAAGTATGACCATTTTACAAAAGTATTTATGTATAACCGACTTGAAGAATTATTTCCAATATTTAGAATAATAAAGATAAATATAATGATCTTTTTTATTATTATTTTGGTATATGTTGTCTGTTCTTTATTAGTCTTAAAAGCCATAACATTATTGGGTTATTTTGCCAATTTGCTATAACCGGATCAGTGAAAACAGAAGAGGATTGCAACAAACCATGGAACATTTTATTATGGTTGAAGGAAATCCTTTCAGCAAATTTAACCAAGCACTTTTTAAATAATAATGTTTTTAAGAATATAATAAAATTTGTGTTTGTTTGTAGCATGTTTTCAAATCTTTGAAATAAAACAAAGATTACTAATAAGTTCATGAATAATCAAATACTTTTCAAAAGTAAAAATACTGCATCACCAGTCAAATAACAAAAGAACAAGAATTCTTAAATGAATAAAAAATAATCTAATATTAATGTGATATATTGAATAATACTTTTCATATCATATTACAGAGAGAGAGAGAGAGAGAGAGAGAGAGAGAGAGACTACTCACAGTGAAAGAGGATCAAAATAAAGGATATACTAATATGTACAAGTATTTCTTGATTAAGGTTATGGCATTGAAAGAAAGAAACAACTTGTTCTCAGCTGGGTAAAACAAACGATAATTCATATTCAGAAGCGAGTGGTCTTTGTTTCATACTGGTAATGTTTATTAAATTAATTTGATAAGAAAAAGTTCCCCTTAGCCATTTAATTTGGTCCGGACAGTAAAATTATTTCGATTGTATTAAGCCAATAAGTCTCGTAAAAGCGCCTTAAACCATTGAAATATGAGTGGGATAACTTAACGCAGAGAGAAAAAAAAATCCTTCTGCAGCATACATTACACACTAACAAAAGCTACACAAATGTACCTTAATTGTTTATGTTTTGGGAACACACCATTTAAATTAAGTTTTATTTTCTCCTGGAGTTGATTTGAAGGCGGAGGGGTGGAGTAAATACTGTTATTTTCATCAGCTGCTGACTTTATTTTCGGTCCAGTTCAAAAAAATCTAATCGGACATTTTTTTCTAAATTCACTTTTTTGTGCTGCATGATGTATGAAGCATGATTCATGCAATTGCATATATATCACTTCTAAAGAAATCATGTTTTATTTTATATTTTGAGGTCATTTCTTATAGTTTTAACTCGGCTATATGTTTGATGTGTTTTGTAAAATACTTGTACTTGATTGATCTAGAAGAAAAGTTAATTTCTTAATTGTTTTTCATTCTCTTCTTCACTTTTTAAAATTATATCTAAATGCTAATACATATATGTAAATCCATCTTATATAAGCACAGATATATTTTTTATGCTTCCATTCAGCTTTTCTTTTTAAATTTAATACTTGCAGTAATGTTTTATTTTAATATTTGTCTATTCACTCAAAAAACAGCAACAAAAAACCGTATAGAAACTTACCAAAGAAAATTAAATATTAATTTTCTTCAAAAGATAAGAATATCAGTATTGTCAATTATTATTTCTTGATATATATTTTCTTTGAAGGTCTATTCCTTCTGGAACCACAGAATTCGATCAGTACTCATTACTTAATTATTACCTTATACAAGAAAAAAATTGCAATCCCCGGACGTTGTCGCGCGCTAAGTGTTTCCAGGATAATACAATAACGCAATTTTCTATACTTTGCTTTTCTATTATTCTACATTCAAAAGCATCAATAGAAATTTGAAGAACTCTCCGTAAGCTAATTCTCTCCTCATTCTATCAGAGCTTCGACTTATAACTTAATCACGCGCCGGGATCTAATAGATTTTCATTTTACTAGAGATATAAACTTCTTTGATGAATAAGAGTGGAGTGGACGCGATGCTTGATCCCTCCTAATTATCCACAGAATAAGACCATAAAGTAGAATACACTGAAACATAGAAGTAAGCTACAAAAGACACAATCAATCTGCTTAGGGAATTCAAGTCCTCTTGTGTCATAGGCAAATAAGGTTTCATCTATTTAGGAGGATTATTTCTTTTCTGTTTTTCTGGAGAAACTGCGGAGGCTTACAGCTGCTGTCCGTGTATGGCAACGCTTGGCGGACTTGAACAATAAAAATCACAAAAACATTAGACAATGTTCAACATAGTTTGTTTTGTTTCTTATTATTATTATTCTTAGCTTATTAGTGTGTGTGTGTGTCCGGGGGGGGGGGTAAACTACACATTCGACTTAGGTGAAACCTTTTTAGGGTAATGTAATGATATATAGAGATCAAGGTCATTTTGCGCGCACGTGCTTGCAAGAAGTGAAAATATATAATGAAAATAATATTTTTAGACAAAATGTTTTATAAAATAAGATAATAGTATGCACAAGATGACTTGTTTAAAATAGCAAATTTAAGCAAGCAATATTCAATTGCAATACTAATCTTTCTTGTTTTTTGATAAAATCATTTGAAATTTTGAACAATCAAACGTAAGATTAAAAAAATATCATGAAAGGTAATTTTTCCAACAATCGCGTGCAACACGAGAAATTTAATATTTATTAATTTTATTTTGAAATCAAAGTAATATACAGTATTTTTTGTAGAAAAGAGGTCAAAAAAGAAACAATCTTCTGATTTGATGTTGTATCTTTCTTTTTTTTGACGAAATCCTTTGAAATTTTAAAATGGCATGAATTGATATCCTAACAAAATATATATATATAAAAAAAATCTCAATTCTAACTGATTGGTATCTAACAGGTTTATCCGTTTATTTCAAGGGGCAAACAGGATGGGTGTGAACATTGATAGATATAATAGATTTCTACAAGAATATATGGCTCAACATGCACATGGATACATGTGCATGTACGTGCGCTGCAATCTTTGACTTTTCTATAACAGTTGATTTGTTTAAATTGCCTTTTGAGAATAACAGATGTAATGGACTTCTCTTCACCATGTCATTTTGAGCACGTGCGTGCACGTGAAATGGGTACAAATAAAAAATAACTTGAAATATTTTTAAATACTTTTGGATCAAATACTTTGATATTTAGTATATTAAAATCTAGAGATTTCAAGACAAGATTATATGGTCATTACGCACGTGCATTCAACACACGCGTGCAATGCTAAAATTTGAATGAAATTATCACTTCTGGGTAAACGTTGCTAAAGTCTCAAATGCATAGTTTGTCTTATTTAATGAAGCTTATAGGGAATATGGCACCAAAAGGGAGTTGGGGAGCGTAAAGGAAAAACGCCTTTAACGGTGTGTTACAATTAGCACTAGTTTGTTTTGCTGAAAAATGTGGTGAATTTGACTTAATAATAGCGAGCGCAGCAGACGTTAATGTAATGAAATATCGAGATGAAAGTCTTACTACAGTGAAAAGTATATGAAAATATTTTTAGTGTTTTATAAAGTTGGAATCTTCAAGATCTGTTTATTATGAATTTAAGAAGAATATTCAATTGCAATACTGATGCATAAATCGTGAATATGCGTAAGATTAATATTAAGGTAATTTTTCCAATAATCGCCCCTTTCTTTTATTAATTTTATTTTGAAATCAAAGTAATATACATTTTTTTGTAGAAAAGAGATGAAACAATCTTCTTTGATGTATTTTTTTTTCGAAAAAAAAAATGGCCCAGGAATTGTATTTAACAAAGTATTTATATTATGAAAAAAATGTTAATTCTAACTTGTATCTTATAGGTTTATCCGTTTATTCAAGGGGCACATGGCGAGTGTGACCAGAGGATATTGACTTCCCCATGGCTCCTGAACCAACCCCTGCCTTCTGAGGTCCGTTTTGACTTTTCCTATAAAGTTTATTTGTTTAAATTGCCTTTTTAGAATGATCACTGTTCGTTCTCTTCACATTTGTCATTTTGAATTGGTGAGGAACTGGGGTACAAATATAATTGAAATATCTTGTGACACCGAGCAGTATTCGAGCTGAAAAATCCATTCAAACAATACAATCAGGAGCAGAGCAAACACTTTTAAAATGATACTGAGGATAGGATCAGTGCAAGTAAAAGCTGTCACCCCCACGTTTTTTGATAGTAAATAAAGAAAAACGCCATTTTCGGTGTGTTACAATTAGTATGAAAAACATATAATAAATTGTATTAAATGTAATCAAATTTTGCTGACAAGGTAATTGTATAGAACTTACGAAATGAAAACTTTAAGGAAATGAGATTGTTGATATCTTTGGTTCATTACCTTGTTTGTCAAAACTTACCTCGTTCTTGAGTATCGAATCAATTGAAAGCCGTAAACCCCGTATGCAGATGATAAAGTTATATTGCTGCATAAGTAAGGTAAGTAAATGAAAAGTTAAAGTCATCACGTTTATAATAAAGCTTTGTTGT